GATATATGGTTACTTAAAACAAAGCTGTACAACAACTGCAGCAAACTATGTAAGCGTGAAAAGGAAAAATAAGCAAATTATTTACAATCGCTGCAGTATTCCCCTAGAGCTTACACTAAGGAAACGGTTGACAAGGTGTCTACGAAACGTACTGAGCAAGCTTAGGTGGAAGGGAAACAACTAGACCAGAAGGTGCTTGTGTGCAGCTGCATGTAGTCGGAGGGCACAGAGGATCGGTGTACTGGCGTCAGTGGAATGTTGGTCAGGGGTAACGAGCCAGGGGCGGGAGTACTTTGAGAGGAGGAACCGGGGTCTGTGCTATCGACTGTAGGTTAAACGCAAGCTGGGTTGAGTCGGTCGACGCTCACGGATTATTTTGATCCATTCTTATTCAACACGAAATACTTGGGTTTCCATGATAAGGCCTGGTACGGGCCTTCATAGGGCGGGGTTATAGGTATTCGGACGGTGTCGACGCGGATGTAAACAAACGGACGTTTGTGCAAACTAGGGTGGAGTTGATGTTTACGTAAGTTAGACCGCGTAGCCGTCGCTCTAATGGATCGAACATGCTGTTTAAAACGTTGAGCATACGAGAAGGAGTCTAGTTCGCCGGTGGTGCGAAAGTCCAGTACCATCTCTCCAAATAGTCTGAGGGTCGTGCCGAACACAAGTTCTGCAGGGCAACACCCGAGGTCCTCTTTGGTTGTATTGCGTATGTCAAGGAGGATCGCAGGTAGACGCTCAGGCCAGCGGGAGACGGATGAACTAGCCCAGATGGCAGCTGTTAATTGTCGATGAAGACGCTAGACGAGGCATTGTCAGCGGGGTGGACGCGGTTTTCTTATGTGAGTACAGCCTAATACACGACTCCGAGCACGAAACAGGGTGGAACTGAACTGAGTCCTTCTGTTGGTAGGGCTAGTGGATGGAACACCAAAGAGAGAGATCCATGCTTCGACAAAAACACGCAAAACGGAGTCGGTAGATGTATCGAGTAAAGGAACAGCTTATGGCCAACGGGTAAAACGGTCATCACATGTTAGAAGATGAGTGAAACCGTTGGAAGGTGGTAAAGGGCCAACAATATCTACGTGAAGATGCCTAAAACGTGCGTTAGGGAGTGAAAAGGTACCTGGATTGTGACTGTGTGACGCTGAAATTTACTGGTTTGGCAACTAAGGCAATGTTTAGCCCAATGTATGATGTCTGAACGCAAGTTGTGCCTGAGGAAGTGGTCGGTAATGATTTGTGCGCTGGAGCGGGTACTCGGGTGTAAATGACCATGAAACTGAACAAAAATGGCTCGACGAACTAATCGTGGGGCAAAGGGTCTAGACTTACCGTTTGAGAGGTCAAAGTAAACTTATGTCATATTTAGGTGACCAAAAGTACGGGCACTTGTGTGACTTTCAAGTTAAGGTTTGATCGAGGTTGGACAAGCTCAGGTTCATTGTTTTGAGCAGCCGCTATTCGCTCCAGGTCGATGGGTGATGACAATGGATTCACATGAGAGCGGACTAATGCATCGGCAACAGCATTGTTAGGACCGTTGACATGCCGAACATCAACACAGAACCGTGAAAGGTAGTCCAGATGACGCGTTTCTCGGAGTGAGTAACGGCCCGAGGCAGAACGTAAGGCGTACACCAGTGGCTTGTGAGCTGTCAAGCGTATGAAACGACGTCCTTCTAAAAGGTGACGGAAAGCTTGCACAGCCAAGTACTTTGCGGGCATTTCACGACCGAAGGTGCTATACCTGACCTGCGCAGGTTATAGCTTCCGTGAGAAAAGGACCGTGGTGGAAATTCGTTAGCAACCAACAGTTGCAAAACTGCACTGACAGCGGAAATCGAAGCATCCGCCTTAAGGAGAAGTGTGGCGTCCGCAGTAGTGTTCAAGTGATAGCGAGAGGTGACTTCACTAAACTTCTGCTTGACAGCCGTGAAAGTGTCTGCAACTTCTGGGGTTACCGTTAACTTGTTTGAGTTTCCTTTCAGTAACTCGGTAAGTGGATTAAGCAAATCAGCAGAGTTGGGAATGAACCTGCCATAGTAGTTGGTCATACCAAGAGAGCGACGTAGGCTTCGAACGGCTTGAAACATCAGATAGTCGAGGAGCGCTTGGGATATATTCAGGATAGGTTTAATGCCTTAACTACCTCTACTGAGACCAAGAAATTCGACGGTGGGTTGACCATATTTTTGCTTGTTTGGGTAGATGGTTTTACCATAGTTTTCGAAGCTTCGAAAACTATTCGGAGGTGTGATAAATGCTCGTCGGGTGTGGCGCTTGCGATCAAAACATCATCAGTGTAAACGTAGACGAATTCAAGGCCACGAAGGACCGGATCCATAAAGCGTTGGAAAGTTGGTGCTGCGTTCCGGAGGTCGAAAGGTATACGAAGCAATTCATAAGGCCAAATAAAGTGATTGCAACGGGTTTGCGATGTCTTCCCCCGCCATTGGAATTTGCTGGTAAGCTCTGGCTACTCCAATTTTGGTAAAGGTTGACTTTCCGACTAGTCCAAGAGAGCCATCGTGGGGTTGAGGGATAGGATCCCTATCAGGAAACGGGTCGTTGTTGAGTGCATGTTAGTCACCGTCTGGTCGCCAATCGCCTGACGTTTCAGCCCCCAGAGGGTGCAGTGACGCTCAGCAGCTGTTTGAAGGTCGAACAATACCGAGATCAAGCATGTGTTGGAATGGATTTTAGCTGCCTGAATTTTTTCAGGGCGCAAGCGTCGAGCTTTAACAGTTACTGGCGGACCGGTTGTAACGATGGGATGGCATACATCGTGTTTAGGGTCGGAAGTATCGTTACTTGCTGGAAGTAGGGACGGAAATTGTCTGAGCCTTGAATAATACTGTGAGTCGTCAGTATGAGGATACGAAGCCCGAGCGAATTGACTGAAGCAACGTTGCAGGGTATGCCCAAAGCTGTAGTAGTGACCAGGACTGAAATCCAACGCGACCACAGAAAGCCCCATACACTTCAGGATAGAAGATGGATACCAGCTGACTGCGAATAACAGCACAGGAAGTCTGCTTCATGCCATAACATGCACTTGGAACTAATCCCAGTATCACATAACCCGCTTAACGAAAGTTTTTACATTTTCATTAACCAGCTGTTACAACTGTAAGATCTTACGGTTATCACTACCTTGTATCACTTTTACAATGTCCAATGGCCAGAACAAAGTCGATCACATCAGAGCGTTACAGCTTTGATCGTACCTATTTGAGCAGGCCTTGGTGGCGGTTCCCGTTCATTCCCGAGAATATAAAACTTATTTATTTACTTATTTATTTATAACGTAGGTCGACCACAAGACCGAACGTGCTGAAGAAGTCGATTCCGACGATGCGCTTTTGCACATCGGCGATGGCAAAATGAAAGGGAACTTACGCCGTAGTCCGAGACAGAGTAAATACTTTCTGGCCGTTGGTAGGGAACTTAGTCTGATTAGCTGCAGTAAGCATTGGCCCAGCTGGTTGCCAGGGACGATTTTCCAGAGAACGTGAGACAGCGCTGACTTCTGCACCAGTAGCAACCAAGAAGTGATGTCCGGTTGTGGAGTTACATACGTACAACAGGCGACTACTAACCTGGCCAGCGACGGCCGCCGCCATTACTCGCTGGCCATGTGGTTTCCCGACGTAGGAGTTGAAAAGGCTTTAGGGTGTTTACACCCCGGACGGCAGTTACACGCTGCGTCTCCGAATCGGTGGTGATAATAACAACAGCGGGGCGACTGTCGTGTACAAGAGTTGCTAAAACGTCTAGATGGAGAAATGGCTCGTCGCGAAGGAACGTGGTCGCGTCTGAGGTGGAACAACGTGAGCTCTAAGTTAGCAAGTCTCCCGTTGCTTGTATCAGGTAGCGTGGTTCCGGCGAGGTTGCCTGAGTTAGCCTCAGTGACGCGGGATTCCGACATTTTAAGGAAGCTTGCTTAAACGTTCTCGGCAGCTTCTGCCAGTTTGTCTAGCGGAAGGTCGTCGGCGAGAACAGATAAAACAGTCGTGGTATTCGCGGTGAGATCATTATTCCAAAATTGGCGGAGAACCGAAGCATCCAGTATGGAAGAACGGACGAGGGAACGCATGTGTCGGAGTGCGGGAGATGGCGTTCTATCTCCAAGCCCAACGCCAGAGCGTAACTGCTGTATGCGTGTCTCGTCTGAGGCTGCAGTGTGCGTTATCATGGCTGTCTTACGTTTATCGTAGAGGACTCAAGCGCATAGGATCAAGGATGTCGATGACCTCAGAGGCGACGTTGAACCTCAAGTGCGCCGTCAGCTATGAAAATATCTTGGACTGGGATAAAACCTTATGAACGCTAAAAACAACTACTCGAACGAACCAAACACGTGAGTTAGAAACGTCTAATGAAGGTGAAACGAGGCCAAGAGAATGTTTTGACGCATAAATGACGGGCGCGTGGTCAGACGTTATGAAGGAAAAGCATAATTATACACAACCAATAAATAAAAATGCGGGGTCCCTAATTATATGGAGGAACCGGTAAAGTGGAATACCCAGTAAGTTAGGTTTACATTA